TCTGAATAACGGGTATATCCATTTGCCCGATATTGTTGTTGCAGGACTACATTACCAGGGTGAAATGTGGAAAGAGTTTTCTCAATCATATCATAATCACTCACTCTTTCTCCACATAACACCATTCTCAATGTTATTCCAAACATCGCAGAATTATAATCACTAACATTTTTGTAGTCCTGAAACCGGAGATGTAACCACTCGTGTCTGGTTTTCGGTAAGATCACATATTTCTGGTGATCAAACCTTTCTTTAAGTGATTGCCAGAGATCTGCAGGATCTTCTTTGATGATGTACTCATCTTTTAAGCCATCGTGGATATGATGACGTAAAAATATCATGGCTCTTGCCTTTTTCTCATCCGATGTCGGTTTCGACTTATCGATGGTATCAAGAAGCCTGTTTCCTCGTATATGCATTTTTGCACCTACTGCCCATGTCATATAATTCTTTCCAGTAATATCAAGGGTAGCAATTTCGAGCTTCGCAAGATTTGACATTATAACTGAATAACAAAAGCTTAATACGTTAAATGAAAAATTAAAAATTTGAGCATAGTAACGGCATAATAAAGGGCAATAATTAAAAGCAATATGAGGAGGCAGAGCCTACCATACAATTGCTGATTGCATAAATAAATAAATGAACAAATATGGGGAATTTTAATCACCTACACAATAAATAAATAAATTAATTAAATAAATAAATAAATAAATAAAGATGGGGGTTTTAATCTCCCACTCAATGATCCCAAGAGACATAGTCTACCATGTGATCATTTAGATCGTGAAGGCATAGCCTACCATAACGATCTGCTCGGAGGAGGTAGAGCCTACTATCCCGGCATAACATATAAACGGAGAAGGCAGAGCCTATCTTTCCGTAAATAATAAAATTTAAAATTAAATTGAATTAAAATAAATTTTACTTTCCGAGTATAGATCTGACTTCGGGATATAGATTAAGAAACGTTCGTGCTGATAACGTGTTATAAATTATTTATTATATAATATAAGATATGTGTTTGATGTATATATTAAGTGATTTGAATGATATAAAGAGAGAGATGAGAGCGAGGTGTAGGGAAAGTGAGAAATTGTGTTTTTATTACTCTTAGTCGTGATTTCAATTACAAAGATAGTGCTTCTATTTATAATGAAGTAGAGGCAGTAGAGATGTTTAATGACAAAATTGCATGCAAATGCTAAATGACAAAACTATGAATAATCATTTTATAACACTAGTATAGTTTTTACATTTTACTAAAGAGTTAAAAATGTGTTTTTCCCCTTATAAGGAATACCAAACTCGTTAATCCACTTTCAGTTCACGTGCTTACGCATCTTTCTTTTGCTTGATCAACTTCTTTTAATCTGAATCTTTCATAATGTAGCAATTGAATTATTCATAGAACTCCTGTTGGAATGTAAAATTTGTTGATACTACAAAGATCAAGGTTAAATAGGAAGATCCTTTTGTTACTACTTCAAATTAAAAGAGTTCATCATCTCCACGACGCAATATTATAAAAGATCAAGGTTTATCATACAGGGAAAGGAAATGAGCTCTGCATATATATATAATTGTGCCTGAAGCTATATCTATCAGGCCTTGGTGCACACATGTCCGTCACAAACCCAACCATCTTTAGACTCGCCGCCGCCACCTTCTTTCGCAGCACCATCACCACCGGTTGTGTTGGCTTCCTCTTTCAAAGCACACTTGGCATGAAGATCAAAGTCGCATTCTTCGCAATGGTAAGACCAGATTTGCCCTTCTTCATCACACTTATCACACATGTAAACGCGAACTCGAGTCAGTTCAAGCTCGTGTTCTTCATGAAGAGCATGTTTCACCTTAACAGGCCACTCTTTCGCCATCTCATTGTACTTTGCTTCAATCTCCTTTAAACGTTCCTCGGTAAAAGGGTAAGCATCGGCTCCATGTGCTCCCACAAGGTCTCTTGCTTCTTTCGTTACGGTTTTTCCGGTTGGTCCCACGGCTGCTAGCATCGGGATGCCACCGACTTTGAAGGTTCGTGCTAATGATGTTTTCCTAGGATCACCGAAAGGAAGAGCCAGCCACGGCATTTGCGAGTAGTACTCATCGAATGATTCTTGGTCTCGGTCACTGGAGATGAAGATCAACTCAAACGCTTCGTCTCGTTCCTTTATCTGCTTGTATACTTCAACAAGCTTCGGTGTAAAAGCGCGACAAGGAGGACACCAGTGAGCTGAGAAGTACAAAAGAATGTTCTTCCCCACCAGATCAGACACAAGCACCTGACAAAAACACACCAAAGGTTTGTTCAGATCAACACTGAGGAACAATGTTTAGAAGATTAAGAGGTGTAGAGAAGAACTTTTACCTTAGCACCATCTTTTCCGAGAACGTAGTTGAGATCACCAGAGACAAGAATTGACTCGAGCGTTTGAGCCTCTGTCTTTGCCTTTTCTATCGCCTTGAGTTCTTCAAACTTCTCTGGAGTGAAAGGATACGCAAGAACTCCATAGTCATCGATTGCTTCAGCGACATTCGAGTGGCGGATTTTGCCATCGGGACCGAGAATGACCAGTGTTGGTAGCGTTGACAGCATGAAGTGCCTAGCTAGTTTCGATGAGCTTTTGTCGTTGAATGGCAATGCTAGCCATGGCTTGGTCTCAAAGTCCTGCTTATAAGACTCCTCATCATCTTCAAGAGATATCAGGACAATCTCAAAATCCTCTTTATTCTCCTTCAGCTTCTCGTAAACCTCAACAAGCTTTGGAGTAAACTCTGTACATCGTGTGTAAGAGGCCACGGAGAAGAGAAGACCAATGGTTTTCCCTTCAAGCTCCGATACAGGAACCTAGTAAATACGCAATTGATCAGCCTCGTTAAGTCAACAACGCCAAAAAAAAAAGCAACAGCTTTGCATTGAGCAACAAGTGCATGAAGTCTTGTATAAAAAAAAACCGTACCTTGCTTCCGTCTCTCGAAATCACAAAGTCACGCGAAGGAGTCACCAAGACGGATTTCAAAGTCTGTTCTCTCCGAGTTCTGTCTTCTTCCTCTTTAATCTCCTTCATTCTCTCTGGCGTGAAAGGGTAAGCATCAGCTCCATAGCTTCGAATGACGCCGACACCATTCTCATTCACAAGTTTACCATGATCATCAACAATCACCAGGTTTGGGATTCCCCTAACCTTGAAAAGCTGATCCAAGCGGTCACGGGTTTCCGAATCAGTAAACGGGACAGCGAGCCACGGCATCTTAGTGAAGTAGTCTCGAAAGGACTCTTCCTCCTCATCGCCAGACACAAAGATGATCTCAAATCCAGATTTTGCAGAGAGTTCGTTGTACACTTCCACAAGCTGTGGAGTGAATCGCTGACATGGTCCGCACCACGCAGCTGAGAAATACAATCCAATCTTCTTCCCTGTCAAGCTGTCAATTTTCACCTGAACATAGAAAAATGCAATTTACTGCAAATAAATCCACAAGAATCCAATTCCGATAACTTTAGAGGAACTTAGGGGACAACAGAAGCCATATGAACAAGACTGAAGCCAAATCATTCCCAGAAAGTAGCTAAAAGCACAATCATTTCCATGAGCCATGAGCTCTTCCAAGTAAATTAACTTTTGAAATCAATGTTGAGTAATGAATCCAATCCGAAGAATCTTAGCAGTTTATGCCAACAAGAGCAATCGATGAAAGTCAACCAAGGACACGAAGCTCTCTAATCATCTGAAAATCAACTAAGAACACGACCTAAATTTCTTCAGAAACAGGAACTATCAACCAGAAGAACCGGGAAAAGAATCGCGAAACAAGGCACACAGACACAGAATCGAGAATCAACAGAAGTTGAAATCCATTATCCATAACCATAAAAATGGAGAACAAACCATAAACGAAAAAAATCTAGTCAACCACAGAGAGAGTGAAGAGAAAAGCATTTTTACCTGTTCGCCGTCATTACGAACGAGGAAATCCCTCGCCGGAGAAGAGAGAAGCGAGTGGAGATCCTGAGCATCGCCGCCGTTAACTTCTTTCGCGATTTCAGCCATGGATTGTAGGGAAACGGGATCTGATCGCAGAATCGAATTCGAGAATCGCTATCACGAAGAACACAGAAAGACTTGTTTCTCTTGACTCTTTGAGGGACAAAATATGCTCAAAACGTCTATTTTAAACTCTTAAGCCTTAAGAAAATGTCCACCCTATTTTATATAACAAATAAAATTAAAAAAAATTAACTCAATCAATAAAGATTTATATTTTTTTAAAAAAAATATAAAGTTTCCAAATCCCAAATGTTAAATCCCAAAAATTAAATATTATAATCTAAAAATTAAATATTAGACACAAAAGTAATTATCTTCTTTAGTCTATGTTTTAGTTTAGACATTTTAAAACCTTTTCTGTTAATTGTCTCCCCATAAAAGAAAGACCTAATTTGACTAAACAAATAGTTGACTGACCAAAGTATTTTGATTTCCTTTCTGGTTAAGGTGATGATTGATAACAAAATCTCAATAATTGGTAAACCGGAATCGTCACCTCAAGGCAGGTCAAATTTGTAATAAGTTATTGAACCGAAAACCGGAATCTCTCTGCCCGCTGGGGTGTAAAATGTATCATCAAGTTATAAGGGACAGTATTAAATATTTTCAAACAATGTAGGGCTATTTTCCAATGAGACAACTTACGAGGGAGCAAACAACAAGGAAATAGTATTTTTCGGTATTTCCTTTTTTCAAACAACGGGGAAATACCGAAATATGGATTCTCGATTCAGAATTGGTATTTCCTTTTTTCTTTATTTCCTTAGTACAAAAGGCACGATTAGTGACTAATCCACAATCTTAAATCGCATTCTCTCATTCCCTTTCTCGTATCTCTCTCTCTCTCTCTCTCTCTCTCTCTCTCTCTCTCTCTCTCTCTCTCTCTCTCTCTCTCTCTCTCGTTTCCTTGTACCTCACGCCTTTCGCTCTCAGAGATTGAATTTTCGAGACATGAACCAAGCATTGAGTCTGATCTTTGAGACGACTCTGTCCCAAACAGATGTCAACCCATGCTACAACCGTCTCTTAATCCCTTTCAAAAAATTGATCCGAGACGACTTCTTGACGCCTGACGAGACGAGAATCTTGGAAGAAGAAGAAGAAGACGAAGAGATCAACAACGACGAAGCGATGGGTGTGGGAGCGATTCTCGTCGATCACCGGAATCAGAAGTGGGGCGTGATTTTGAAGAGACGGGAGGTGAAGAAAGATATCTGGACTTACGCTTTGATTTGCGGCTGGAACGATATCGTCAAGGCTAACGGGTTGAAAGACGGTGACTACATCAGTCTTCGCGTTTTCAGGCACCGAGGAATCCTCTGTTTTGACCTTGATCCTCGTCTTGCTCTTTCATAACTTCTCTTGAGATCTTTATTTCAGGCGGTTTCTGGAGGTTTTATGTCTAGCTAGTGACTTCTTGGAATTGCAATTAAGAAGATTAGGGTTTTAGTACACTTGTGATCTTGGAATTGCAATTATCAAGATTAGGGTTTTAGTCTTGGAATTAGAATTATCAAGATTAGGGTTTAAGTACACTTGTGATCTTGGAATTGCAATTCACAAGATTAGGGTTTTAGTAATTAGTGCACCTGTTAGGTTTTATTCTCCTCTATTTTGTTAGTAAGTTTCGCTTTGTTTCTGATTCTTTTACTATGAATTGATTGAACGTTTTGACATGGATTTGTTTTTGTGTTTAACAGTTTCATTCAGTTTCTTTAATTATTTGATAGTTTCCTTTATCTGACATGAATCTCGATGGCTTAATGAGAATCTGATTTTAAAACTCAGTCTACTTGTATAAATAGCAAAAACAAAAAAAAACAAAAAAATAGATAAAACTAGGAACAAATATTTGTTGCCAAGACAGGCTTTTGTTTTGGCAAGTATCTAACTCTCTCAAAGAGAATCGTTGAACAACAAAGTGCTCTATAAAGAGTTGTATTCTGAATCTATAGTCTTCAATGCAAATTGTCTTTCAACATAGAGTCTTGCTTCTGCGGATCTAAAGCATTCTACTGCAAAAAGGATTTTTAAAATTTGTATTCGTTATCTATAAAATTAATCAAAAATTCTAGACAAAAAGCATATAGCATAATCCCATTTGTTTCTTCTTTCTTACTTTACATTTATCGCGATATTCATATTCAACCGAATTCACAACACAACTAATAGCAATCTAAATACTTGTCATTTTTCTGATGAAAATCTTTTTCTTATCTCTATTCATTTGTTCAGTTCTTGTGTTTCTCGTCGCAATACATCCTAATCATTGCAAAAAGTTATATTATATATATATATATATGCTTATTTTATAAATAGAGTTTGTATTATTATTTACCTAAAAGTAGAGAAATTAAATACACGAATAACGTTAAATATATGAATATTGTTGTCGACAAACCATGGTGATCCCATCATCGCACCAAGTGCTAAAACGCGGGATTCTATGGCCATTAATGAGAAAGAAAAAAAACTACTATAAAATTTGCAAAAGTTAACATTGGTTGCACGTTAGCCACACCACCACATTTCTTCGAATACGGTGATCAATTTCTTGCACCGTAATACATCCAATGTTATATTATATAGATCAACATTTGAACTCTTAAACTTGATAAACTCACACTAAATTAATGTTTGTGAGAATTAACGAGTACTCATCACTTTTTTCTCAGAAATGGTTCATGATTAAAAAATGACTATTTGTAGCATTTGCTTAATTGTCCAGCTCATTACAATATAGGATTCTGTACTTTTGAAAATTTTGAGAAGAGGAAAAGGTAATAATTATTTTAAGAATCTTTGTCTAGGTGGAAGACAGAATTATAAAGTCATCTATTAGTCTTCATAAACCATTATACGTCTTATATTAATCCAGGTATGTATAGAAGTTTAATATTGATGAAGATTTATATAGTTTATACTCAGCCAGGGTTCAGGGACCCAAGTCCATCGATATTTTATTCAAGAGCTACTACTGAGAGTCTGAGACGAATACATGTAGTCATTACTCATTAAACACTAAACGCAAAAACTAAACAAGCTTGTTCTATTTTTCAAAATCTTAAATATTTTTTTTGTTTTTTACTTTTCCCTTTCATCAGCAATAAATCAGTCTCCCTGCGCTTTTTTTTTTCTTTTATTACTTCTTTCGCTTTTACTTTCTCTCAAATAATTTTGATCTTTTTATATAATTGGGGGCAAGATTCATCTTTAAATACTTTATGCAGCCTTTATTTAGTTAGTCAGTCAGATTCTTTATTTCTTACAATGTTTTAACTGGATTTGAATTATATATTTTCGTTCCTCTTTTTGACTTTTTGACCAATTATCCCTTGAGAAAACAGTGAAAACCTCTTTCGAAATACCTAATAAAGTATTTTTTTTTTGTTAAACAAAATACCTAATAAAGTTTTGATTAAAAAAACGTTTAATGCTCAAATTTATAATCTGGACTCACTTCATGAAATCATAGTGAAGTCTCATTACTCTCTCTTCATATTATATCTCCTTCTCAACTACTCTTCTCACCAGAGAAGATGAACAATGAAGCAGCTTTCTTCCTCTGCTTCTTCTGCTTCGTAAGAAAGACTCCATCTTTTGACTTTCACATTTTGGTAACATAACGTTTAACATCTTCTACAATTTGCGGTTTTGTGTAGGTTTATTTCTTCGGAGCTGAACAAACCGCCGGAAACGTTACGACGTCGGAGAATCCATTCACACCAAAAGCCTCATTGATTCGCTATTGGAACAAACACATCAATGGCGATTCACCAAAACCTTATTTTTTCCTCTCAAAGGCATCTCCTATGACGGCCGTGGACTCCACGCGTTTCGCCTCACTCGCTTCCCGTCACGCGCTACACACGCGCCTCTCTGATTTCTGCTCCGCCGCGAAGCTCTTCTGTTTCCCTGAGCTATCGGCACATTCTCACGGTGATGACGTTAGCTTCGCCGTTTACAGCCGCAAGAATTTCACAAGCTACGGCTCCGACCGCCTCTCCGGAGCCGACTCGTTCAAAAACTATTCCGGTGGTGACAACATTGCCGTCGATTCGTTCCGCCGTTACAGCCGCGATTCCGCCGGGCACGACGATGGGTTTTCAAATTACGCCGGCGAAGTCAACGCGGCTGACCAGAGCTTCAACACATACGCCACCGGATCTACTGGAGGCTCCGGCGATTTCGTGAATTACCACACAAATGCCAACGAACCCAACGGAAGATTCACTTCCTACTCCGACAAAGCCAACGGCAGATCACAATCCTTCACGACCTACTCCGAAAACGCAAACGCCGGAGCTCAGACGTTCACAAGCTACAGCAAAAACGGAAACGGAGCTCCGAACGGATTCTCGGGTTATGGATCCGGGTCAAACGTAGTCAAATCGGGTTTCACCGGATACGGGGAGACCGCAAACGGAGCCAACGACACGTTCACTAGCTACGGCGGCAACGGGAATATCCCGGTGAGCGATTTCAAAAAATACGGCGAAGGAGGAAACGGCGCCGTTTACGGGTTTAAGAGCTACAGAGACCAATCCAATATCGGAGCAGACTCGTTCTCTTCCTACGCCAAAAACTCGAACAACGAGAAGGTCAATTTCGTAAATTACGGCAAATCATTCAACTTGGGATCCGACAATTTCACCGGTTACGGCCAAGGTAACATCGGAGGAAACGTCAGCTTCAAAACCTACGGCCAAGGACCGAGTTTCAAGGAGTACACTAAAAACGGCGTCGTTTTCGCCAGGTACTCTAATAACGTGAGCTCGACTGGCAAAACGGTAAATAAATGGGTTGAGCCGGGCAAATTTTTCAGAGAGTCGATGCTAAAAGAAGGGACGGTGATGCAAATGCCGGATATTAGGGATAAAATGCCTAAAAGGACGTTTTTGCCCCGAACTATAGTTTCGAATTTACCTTTTTCATCTTCCGAGACAGGCGAGATACGGAGGATCTTCGGCGCCGGAGAGAATTCGTCGATGGCGGGGATAATCTCCTCGGCGGTTTCCGAGTGCGAGAGAGCGCCAAGCCACGGGGAGACGAAGCGGTGCGTCGGATCGGCGGAGGATATGATCGATTTCGCCACGTCAGTTCTTGGACGTAGCGTGATGGTGAGAACGACGGAGAATGTCGCAGGGTCAAAGAAGAAGATCGTAGTCGGGAAAGTCAAAGGAATCAACGGTGGAGATGTAACTAGAGCTGTTTCGTGTCACCAGAGTATGTACCCGTATTTACTATATTACTGCCACTCGGTTCCTCGGGTACGGGTTTATGAAACGGATCTTCTTGACCCGGAGAGTGTAGAGAAAATTAACCATGGTATTGCCATCTGTCATATCGACACATCAGCATGGAGTCCGAGTCATGGAGCGTTTTTGACACTAGGGTCGGGCCCAGGTCGGATTGAAGTTTGCCATTGGATCTTTGAGAACGATATGACGTGGACTAGTAGTACTGTTGAATAAGGTTTTGGTCAATTTTTGATCGTGTTATTTATTTAAGAATTGTTTAAGAATTGTTTCATCCTTTTTGTTTTCCTGTTCGCAAAACTGTAGCTTTCTCCCATTTATATTTATATATTTGATCAACTTAGTAAAACTGAAACTTTTAGACTTGTGACGCAAGACACATTCCGAGACGTTTATTTGCATGTGTGTGGAAAGCTCATTAACAATCGAGAAAAACGATCAAATTCATCGTGAACTAATCAATTTCTGATAATTCATATATGACTTATAGAGCTATGCCAAAAACTAGATAAATTATATAAAAGTTTAAATTTTCATCATGAACTATAAAATTGTGATCAAAACCACTCTAGCCATGACTTTAACGGTTAACAGTTGCTGACTGTAACGCCATGTAATCTCTCAATACGATATCGTTATAGAAATTAACGACAATTGATCCAAAATAACATCGTTTCTCTCTGGCTTCAATTTAAACTTTTTCTTTTTCACGGGTATGAGAGATTGGTTCCTCACAAGAAACTGAAAAATTGTAGTTTGGAGAGTTAAGCTTATTCTAACTCAGTGGACACCGATTCAAACTGATTAACAAAGGCGTTGGTTTAGGGGTTCCAAAAAAAGCCAAAAACATTGGATATTTCTAATTGTTTTTCCGTCTGAAAATTCATCAATCAGGTAAATGTAGTTTGATTTTCAGAAATTCTTAGTTTTTAGTAAATTTTAAATGGTGAAGTATGTTAGTTTCGTCTAGGATCATCAGTTTAAGTTAGTGTTGCCATTTTTATTTGATTTTCATGATTAGAAAATGAAATTGAAACATGTCCACCAAGTGTTTGATTAAATGTGTAAAAAGTTAATTTGGTTTTATCTCCACCAAGTGGTGCCGTTTTGTATTTACCACGTGTCATCCAGTCATCAGCAGTCAACAGACAATATTGGTGGTTTCGACTACAATTTTGTAGTTCATGATAGAAATTCAAATTTTTATATAGTTTCTGGCATTGCTTCATAGATCATATGTAGATTATTAGGAATTGATTAGTTCATGGTAGAATTGACCGTTTTCTCTACTACAATCCAAGAAACTATGGATCATATCATTACTTATGGTGTTCAGAAAATGACAGCTTCGATTTCCATTTCAATAAAGAAACCCGAAACTTTTTTATTAATAAAAATAATATATAAAACCCAAAACCAAAAAGAACATAGTAAATAAAATGTCATTTAGTCTATTTTTTCATCACATTCTCCTTTTCCAAAAGTAAACAAGATCCTCGAGGCAGTCTGTAGTAGTAACAGTTTTGCCTCCTTCTCGTTCAGCTCAGCTGTGAGATCCGACATCTTCTGCTTTAACGACAAAACTTTAGCAGTACAAGTAGCAGTATTGACCTTCTCCGTGTCCAGTTCAAGGTTGAGATTCTTGACTTGTTCCTCAAGTTCTTGGACTCGAGAACCAACATCATTTGTTTTCTTCCTCTCCAAAAAACCACATCAAGCTTTGTTTTCAACCAGTCCAGCTTGAAGCCCGCTTTTGTTAGATCAATCAGCTCACTGCGAGCGTTGGTTAGCTCAGTCTCGGATAAGCTATGTGGAGGTTTCCTTGTTGAGAACAAGTAATGGTTGTAACTCCAAGCTAGAACATAATCCCTTGTTATCTCCTTTATCCAAACACAAGTCGGGCTTTCAGAGGAGACGACGTTCTTAGAACAAAGCTCTTCAATTAAAAAAAAAGAAAAATAAATAAAAATAAATGATATGGACAAGTTTGGGAAGAGAAGTGCCTTTCTGCAGAGAGTTGTAAGAGCATCACCAACGGCAGAGACTATACCAGCATCTCCTAAAAAATATTTTAATAATATAATTAATTTTTACAATTAAATTATAAACAATTAAAAGAACAAGCCAATCATTACTTGTCATTTGTATGGAGATGGCTTCTAAAAATTCTTATATTATAGTCGACTCTCATTCTCTCTCCATCTTTTTTTATTTTTATAATTTTTATTATTTAAAATGTCTCTTAGATCCTCCGTTGGAGGTGGTCTAAGAGTCAACTTTTCCCAACTTTTTGACATATGTCATATTCTGATTAATCAACTTTTTTTTTTTTCGAAAATCGAATTTTTTATAAAAAGAAAAAAAAAATCTTTTTTTTTTTAAATAATAAAAATTTGGAAGAGCTCCATGTCAGTCCCTCCATTGCTGATGCTCTTACACTCCGTTATCACAAGATTCGGATTTTGTTCGAAAGCGAAATAACTTTATTGCTAGCCAAGCATTTCCCGTATCTTAATCGATTGTTTACTTGTTTAAAGACTCTCTTTTTGTTTTTGGCTTTACAATAGTAGCTCTCGGGCTAAATTATGTCTAGATTGTTACAATTCATTGTGGTGTTCTACTATACCAACTCATATATATGGTCCTTCAGAAAGAGATAGTTATCATAGGTCTGATTAGGACTAACTGAAGAAAAAAGTAATTGATATATGTGCAGTGGAATATTTTGTTTGTCTTTAGATGTTAGAAGTCGCTTTATTAAATAGAGATGTTTGTTTGTAAAGATCTGACAGTAGTAGTGAATCTAGTCCTAATCAAAAGTGTATTACTTAAGTACATGTAATATGTGTTGTCCTCCTTTACCTGTGAATACAATTCTAAACATGTTAAGGCATTGAGACAAGTAGGACCAGTGGTCTAGTGGTAGAATAGTACCCTGCTATGGTTACGGTATAGATTAGGGGTTCGATTTCCACTTGGTGCACTTGAAAAGTGTTTGAGCTGTGATGAAATTAGCTTAGCGTTGGTTGGGTCCATCGCATTACTCTGGTTCCTTGGATGAGATTTTTAGCCTCGTGACTGAGCTCTCATTTTTCTGCATATCAGAGAGTCTTATCGAAGACTTAATCTCCAAGGCAAAGTCCCTCAAATATCGGTTCCACGGCTTTTCCGCTGTCTCAATGATGGATCGTCGTTTTCTATTTTTTGCTCTATTAATTTCACATCACAAGAATATAGAGAGAGGACACAAAACTAAGCTAAACCTTATCAAACGAGGATAAACAATTCTTCTTATCAAACTAGGGTATGAATAAACTAATCCTTATCCTAAGATATATATATATATATATATATATATTTGTATATATCCTCTTTAAACAACCACCATAAATCTAAGCACTCGTGATGTTTCAAAAATTAGGTTCTTCAGTGGATAACGCGATGGCGAACGACGGCGCAACCACCGTCGATCATCACCTCGGCGAAATCAAACGATCAGGAGATTCAATCAGCTTTCTGCCTGATGAAATCCTCCAACATATCCTCTCCTTAATTCCGACCAAATCCGTCATCACAACTTCCGTCCTGTCCAAACGATGGAGGCATGTATGGTTCAATACACCTTCTCTCTCCTTTGATAGCAATACAGTGAGTGCTGATACGATTAACCAAACCCTAGCTCAGTACACGGCTCGCAAGATGGAGACTTTTCAGCTCTGTAGCAGCGTGACCGACAATCTTCCTCACATCGACAGGTGGGTGGAGTTTGCCACGTCCCGAAACGTGGAGAATCTGACGCTGGATTTGGATTTTCGTTCGTACAACATTCCTGACTTCTTCTACACGGTTTCTTCTGTTAAGCAACTCAGCCTTGAGTTACACTCTTCTCCTATGATTCCCAAATCCTCTGTTTCTTGGACATCACTGAAAAAGCTGTCCTTGCGTTCTTGTAAGCTCTCTGATGAATCCGCTGCTAGGATTCTATCGGGTTGTCCGATTATCGAGAGCTTAACTTTGCATCTCTGCGACCAACTTAGGGTTCTTGATCTCAGCAAATCACAGCGGCTGAGAACATTAAAAATAGATGGGATTCTAGGGCCAATACAGATTGTGGCCCCACATATCCATTATCTCAGTTTGACAAACTTTAGGTTATCATGTACTTTAGTTGATGTCTCCTCGTTAACCGAAGCTAAACTAAACATTAATGTTGGCTTTTGCCCGTTTGAAGAACTGAAAGCAACGTTGCAAGAGATGCTAGAGAAGGTTCATAACGTAGATAAGCTTACTTTTGGAAAAAAACTTTCTTCAGGTATGTTTTGGGTATTACTCTATATATGTTTCACTTAGTTTTGACTCATGTAGAATTAGTTGGTTGCATAGTAAACGTGAGCATAGATGGATTAGTTATCATTAGGCTTTGTTTTTCAATTTAAGTCTATATGTTAAATGCTCAACAGATGTATGTAAAAAGCGACTCTGATCAATGATTCTTGTCTTACTATGCTTCACCCCTTTTTGAGTTATTTATATGTGTGTTTTGGTGTTCACAATCTGTTTGTTTTGTGGTTTTGGTCAGTGGTTATCTCTTGTCGTCAAGGTCCAACGAGGTGCAACTTTTCCGGGCATCAAGGTCAAAGATTTGACGCTTGAGACAAGAATCTCTCCACATGTAGTTCCTGGCATAAACAGGCTGCTACAAGGCTCACCTGAACTAAAGAAGCTAACAGTACACGTAACGGAATCTGGCACTGTACCGTTACCGAAGAAGATATCGGTAAATTTTTCGTAAGCCTCTTTTTTTTTTCTTGACCAAATTCTAACTAGTTTTGTAGTAAACCGAGCTACTTTGAGTTTGTAGGACATTGTCTACCGAAAGCATGTAAACTATTTCATGGAACAAATACTTAAAAAGCACGAAGACATTGGAGAAGATGATTGTAAGGTTGGCATGTTCTATTGAGGGTCTTGAAGAATTGCTTTGTCAGATGGTTCCAGTGCTTTCCCACAAGCACAATGTCTCCATTGTTCTTAGCTCAATCAAACCGGATCCATTCGAACCGGGGGCGGGTACGGCTTCTTCTCGGACAACACGTGTAAATTTAAGGCAGAAAAAACCTCCCGGAAAGGTCCCAAAAAGGCTGTGGACCACGGTTCGTGGGCGTACGTCATCTTAGTAGCTTGTGAAGAATATGTTGTCTATTACTTATCTATGTTATCTATGTTGACCCAAAAGTCATATTCTTGTATTCTTATGATCATATATAATTGAAAAACATAGATTAGTTTCATAACTTAATTTCTATCGAGTACTAATATACGAAGAATACGATTGTAGTCACTAACAAATTTTATATAAAGAGGAGAAGATTCATGTGTCCAAAGGTGATGAATATTACCAGCATGCAATTGTTTTCATCGTTTTATAGTTCTTGAACCTTTTTCCCCATCAACAGCGATTCTTGACATCTCTGTTTGTTTCAATGCGTAACAAAGTTAGTAACGATGCTCAGAATCAATTTTTATCCCCAAAAATAATAATGCGCATATCAACAATAAAATAAATCACATTTCAAGCATAACTTTAATCAAGTTGTTTTATGAGAACATTGAACGCTGATTTAATACCAGGAAAGTCAAAGAAATCACTCTTCGCAATTCCAAAGTAAACAGCTCTTTAGTAGTAACAGTTTTGCCTCCTTCTCGTTCAGCTTATCGTTGAGATCCGACACCTTCTGCTCCAACGACAAAATTTTAGCAGCACAAGTAGCAGATTTGGCCTTCTCCGTGTCCAGTTCATAGTTGAGATTCCTGATTTTTTTCTTGAGTTCTTGGACTCGAGAATTATAAGCATTTGTTTTCTTCTTCTCCAAGGAAACCTCATCAAGCTTTGTCTTCAACCACTCTAGCTTGAAGCCCGCTTCTGTTAACTCAATTAACTCGCTGCGAGCGTTGCTTATCTCAGTCTCAGAGAAGCTATGTGGAGGCTTGTTCAGTGTTTCGATGAGACCGAGGAGGACATTCATGTACGTTGTCTTTACCTGTTGGTTCTTTGGTTTGAAATTCACTGCAATGTCCGGGTGCTCTGTGAAAAGAGTAGCCACTTTAACAATCTGTCGACACGAGAAAGATGTAATAATGTTAGCCAATGTCCAATCTCAGAAAAGAAAATCAAAAAGAAAAGAATAAAAAAAAAATACAACAAGGAGCATATACTACATACTAACATACCTGAGAATAAAGAACATGGAAACCTTTAACATTTAAGGTCTCATATCCAGTTACCTCTTCTTCTTCTTCTTCTTCTTCATCATCAGATTCAACTACTTCTACTTCCACTTTAATTATCAGTTTGTTCTTCTCCATAAACCCATATTTTTGAATTGTTTTAAGAGTCACCCCACTTGGGCAACCCCATCCTGGGGCCAGGGCGCAGTACAATTTGCGATCTGAATCTGTAAGACAAAATCAGAAAAGTTAGCTTAAGTTATACCGTTTACGTCTGATAAGTAAATTACCATGTATACTGAAGAGCTCTTTGCCGGATTGATTCAACAGAACGAAGGAATAATAAGCTCTTATTTTCCATCCAAGTGGCAATGATTCAGGATTCGCAAGGATGAGGTACATAGACAAGAAGTGATCTCCTTTGGGATGATGAACTTGAACAAACCTAACAAAAAAAAAAAAAAAAAGGCAACAGATGAAGTAATAACAGAGACAAGTGATCTTCAGTATTATACTGTTTCCATTGGGATAAACTTGAACAAACCTAACAAAAAAAGGAAAAAAGATGAACCAATAGCAGAGACAAGATATTTTGCTGGATCTAGACCATGGGTTCTCAAAAAATCAAGCACACACACATATACATATATATAATTTTTAGCTTTACCATTCGTAGCCGTCGCATAAGAATTGTGGAGATGATATCACGCCTTCCTTCTCAGAGAAGTTATCTATCTCAAAAGTGAAACTACTCAGCAGTTGATCCTCCATACTCTATTCTCAGGCTTTATTCCTTTGAGCAAAAGACGACTTTCTCATAGACTTGTTTTCGATGTTTTTACTCTAAACCCGTCTATTTATAAAGCTTTTCTTCTAGTCATTCGTTTTTATATAGGGTCTGACTGGTATATCAGATGAATAACAGAATAGCAGAATAACTGAAAAATTACTAGCGGAATGAACTGAACTGAATAATATTTTAGCTGAATAATTATGAAACGCTGAAAAGCTACTTTTAGTAGATTAATCACGTTTTGATTTTTTTAGTTATATTTTTAACATGCTAGCGGAATCACGTTTCAAAAACATAAAAAAACGTGAAAACGTGATGAATAACATGAATGGTAAAAAATAACAGAATCAAGTATCCAAAACGTGAAAACGTGAAAAAGCTGCATACCATTCAAACCCATAGAAAACCGAGATATAAAGGGAAAGAGTAGCATCCAATCAATCCTTATGATTTCTCCTATCATTATTACTATATTGTTCTCTTATAATTAATTAAGATTATATTCATTTTGTATATATATGTTGTATGTACAGTGAAGAAGATATGAGAGTCAATACAATTCTCTCAATCTATCTCTCATACCGCTGAGAGATCCAGCACCATGTTGTCATTGTTACAGAGCTACATAACCTATACCGCTGAGAGATCCAACATCAAGATCAAAGATTTGACGCTTGAGACGAAATTCTCTCCATTTGTAGTTCCTAGCATAAACAGACTGCTACAAGACTCACCTGAACTAAAGAAGCTAACAGTACACGTAATGGAATCTGGCACCTTACCGATAAAGACGTCGGTATATATACTTTCCATAAGTCTCTTTTTATTTTTCTTGACCATACACTAACTATTTCATTTCCGATTTTTATAATAATCCGAGCTACTTTGAGTTTGTAGAACATTGTCTATGGGAAGTTACAGCCAAAGAATGTAAATTGTTTCATTTAACAAATGCTTAAAAGCACAAAGACATTGGAGAAGATGGTCGTAAGGTTGGCATGTTCAATTGATGAAAGTGGTTTTGAAGAAATGCTTCATCAGATGGTTTCCCACAAGCACAATGTATCCATTGTTCTTAGCTCAACCAAACTGGATCCATTCGAACCGGGAGCTTAGGTGGATACACATAGACGAAATTAACAGTACGCATAATGGGTTCTGGCAGGCACTGTACCATACTGATTATGGTATATTTTCCATAAGCCTCATTTATCTATCTTGACCATTCTAATTATGGAATTTATTGATTTTTTTTTTTTAAAATTTGAATTTGTTATCTTATAATGGAATTTACTTTACAATCTTTTAATATTATTTCACAACAAATAAAAAACGCAAGGTTACAGAAAACACAGTAAATATCAGTGGAGGAAGAGATAGTCAAATCTTATAATGGAATGTGTTGACCCAGTATATCACTTACAATGTCAATAATAAGTAATAAAGATTTAAAAGAATAAATCTTATAAATAATAAACAGTTGCGGATTAAGAAAATAAATTTTATTATTGTTTGAAGGTTTAGAGTGTTTACAAAAGTAGCTTGACAATTAAGTCTTGCCGACTTGAATGTAAGAACATTTAAAGAATTTAAACTAGAAAAACTTGAACGTTAAGTCTTGTTGTTGAGCTCTTTAGGGACTCTTGGATTAGATCTTCAAATTATGAGATGTCCTCTATTATAAGGATAGTTAATCGGTTCCATCAATATTTCTTTCTTTTTTCTTTTAGAAAAATCGTTTTTTTTTTGTAGATGATTTCCTTTATTTTCAAACTTATATTTTTTTCATTATGGAGGTTCAGTTAGATGGACTTCGTCTTGATGAGTTCATCATTCATGAGGAATAGACATTTTAAGGAATGTGCTCATTCTATCTGTAATGGAATGTGTTTGAAGGAATCTTCGCAAGTGATGATTTGCAAAGAAATCAAATGAAAACTCATTAGTATGGAAGCTTCATAGCTATCATGAAAATCAGAGTAAAGTCCATATTTACCTTCAGAGCAACAAGCTTTATTCGCAAAGTTTGATTAGGCATAAAAGTTTGTGCTCCTTTGTCTTCTTCCCAATTCAGTATTCTTCAATATCATAAGTGCCTTGTCAGTATAGGTCCAGAATGGCCACATCCATGGCCAAGAAGAGCTCTTTTTGGACTATTTGTAGATGATCATAGATCACCATGATAGATGGGAAGGCAATGTACTCGTGGATGATGGGGTCTTCAAGAAGAATCCAAGGATCCTCAATGATTCTAAGGGACCCATATTCGTATGCATGAATCAAAGTTTATCCCTACAACCTAAATTTTTCTTGAAAGTTTGCACAAGATAAACACAAACTAATATAAAAGAATCTTTTGTCTCAACTGTTGCAAGGATCTCAAATTTGGAGGTCAGAGACTTAGAGGTAATCCATCCTTTGAGACACTTATAAAAAGTAACTTAAACTATAAGATACAGTCACATGCGATATGGTTCATAAGAGGATTCATGTTCACGGCATGTAACGTTGTTTATGTTTGTCCCACATCGATAACTAGAGATAAGTTGTGTTGTTAATGTAACGCAGTGAAGAAGATTTTTATAAGTTTACGTTTTTACCTCTCCCAGCTTTTGTTATTACAAAAAAAAACCCACCTTCACGTCCAATCAAATTCCGTTTGTTCTCCTCTACAAATGGTTAGATTTTTGTTTTTCTCTTGAATTTTAAATTCTGATGAGTTTTCTTATTGTTGTTTAAGGAGATGGATAATTTTAAGGACCTTTTAATCCCAAAGGAAGGCTACTTAGGAGACATCTACATCGTCTCTAAGAAAAGGCTTCTTCGGATTCAGATGCTCAAGAAGAATATGCATTCTCTCAAGAAGGGGATGATGTGGCGGCTGGTGTGTTTTCGCCATAGCTAATGTACGGTGATGATGATCCTGGAGCGGTACGTACAGAAGAAGCGGCATAAAGAAGAAGATAGCTTGGAGCTTAAGGCAATGGGGGCAATAGAGGAAGGTGATGCCGTATTTGGCTCTAGAGCTGTAATGGACCTTGGTTCCGAGTTGAATAGTTGAATGACAAGTACAGGCCAAGAAGCATCAGGATATAGCTATTATGAAGTTCAACAGTGTTGACTGTTTACCAATCTATTGATTTTCGAATTATGTTAGTGTTTTAAGAAGCTACCATTGTTTTATTTTGTGTGATTTTTTTTTTGTTTTTTTGTTATGAGGAAACAGCTCTCGAGTTGTAATGGGTAAAAGTAATGAATCAGGAGGACCTATAAGGCCTTGCTATAAGAGTCCTATGGAAGAGTTAAGCTCCGAGGCAAAGTCCCTCACAGATCTGGTCCGAATAATTAGATATCAGAATGATTTGCTTTATTAACTTGACATTTATGACGAAAAGCACAAATCAAGTCGAACTGTTTCCTCCTAACAAAAAGATGAGACGATTCATGTGTCCGAAGTTGTTGAATATTACGAACATGCATTTCTTTTCATAGTTGAAGTTCTTGAACCTTTTATTCCTCCATCAACAGTGATTCTTGATGTCCCTGTTTGTTCAATGGGTAACAAAGTCAGTATCCTCTTAAGTTCTTAACAATGCTCAGAATCAATCTTTATCCCCAAAAAAATAATGCTCATAAAGTCCTAATCAATGATTAAATAAATCACATATCAAGCATAACAATGATTTAATAAACAAATAGCACTGATATTTCTGGAAAAACTATGTCCATAAACTGCAGAATGTCAGTAATTAACAATTCTTCAAAATAATACTAGTCACGTATATACTTAACTAACTAGAGATGAGCATGATTATTTTTAAAACGCAAGTTTATAGAAAACAAGCACAACAGTAAATATCCGTAGAGGACGAGGGTAGTTACGGAATAAAGAAAGATAACGGTAACAACTAACTATAAAGCATCTTCTTCTTCGCTTCATCTCTTCTTGCGCTTCTTGTTTCTCCCTCTCTCTCTATCCGATTTTTATTTCATCACTCCAAAATCTTCTTCTCCTATCCGAGATCAATCGAGTTTCATCACCAAAGAAGAAGAGCATGGATGATCGCTCTGTTTCATCTGACGAAGATGATGACCTAATCGAACCAGCAGACGAGGTGATCATCTCGTACTATCTGTTAATGATGATGAACAACGGCAAATCCTGGCCTAACCACTTCCTCCGAGACTTGCAAGCACACGTGTACAACCTGAATCCATGGAGCTTCTTCAATACTCAGAACGCTTACTACTACGTCTTCGCCAAAGGCCGAACAGAGGCTTGTGGTAAAACCGACGGATGCGCATCGGGTTGCTGGAGGATCATGGCTCGTGATAAGCTGATCAAGTCTGAGGAGACAGGGAAGTTTCTAGGGTTCAAGAAGATTCTCAAGTTCTGTGATAAGGAAGAAGAAGAGGATGAGAGAAACTGGGTGATGGAGGAGTATAGGCTCGTCAACAAACGGAAGCAAGATCAGGTGATTTGCAAGATTCGTCTTCTGCTCCAACGCGAGGTTAATTCCTTGCTCGCCACGCATTTCTCGTTCTTGAATGCATCGCCGTTATCTGATAGGCTTTTGATGCCGAAGTGGGACTATTGTGTACGGGACGAACCAAAGGATGAAACAATCTCACTCTCTCTGCACTCGTTGATCGGTAATATTCGAAACGATTGGCCTAGACGTTTCCCGCGTGGCGAGAAAGTGTACAGCGTGGAGCCATGGAGGATTGTGGGTCGTCTTCACACCTCTCTCGTCCTAAACGTGGGACACTACTTCTTCGTTAACAAGACAGAGACTTGTGGTAGAACCGATGGATGCAACGGCGGTTGCTGGAGGATGATAAGACGTGACAAAGTGATCATCTCGAAGAGGACCAAAAAGGTTCTTGGTTTCAAGAGGTTCTACAAGTTCTGTCACAGCGAGAACCCGGAATTCGCAAAACCGGTTTTGGAGTTTGAAGATGGTGAGGAGGTTAAGGTTACTTGGGTAATGGAAGAGTATAGGATTGATAAGAAGAGGATGCAAGGTAGAGTGATTTGCAGGATTAGGGCTCTCTTGCCAGAAGCACTAGCTCGCTTGATTCGATATGCAGAAGTAGAAGTATAAACTTGCTATAAGCAACATAAGATCATGTAGATCTAAACCCATATCCCAGATTCTGTTTCTATTTCGGTTTTTCTCTTTAAAAATGTAATAGAGTTTGTGATAACTGATGATGATGAGTCTGTGGTTTTAAGTTTCTCATGTAATTCTCTAATCAATGTGGTTTAAGAACGGGTTTCGATTTATCTTGAATATGGATACATTGTTGTGATAAAAAAATGTACAAGCAGAAACTTTCTAAGGAGAGGAGGTACCTTAGTCGATAAGAGGGTGCTCTGTTTCTGATAGTTTGTTCCTCGTGGCTTTGAAAGATTTGAGTTTCATGAAGTCTACTGTGTTTTCCAAGCAACGAGTTCTCTTATTTGAGCAGCTGAGATAAGTGGTAAAAGAAAACATAATATTAATCAACAGTGTTTGTTTGCATAAAGTGTTACCAATCATAAAAAAAAAAAAAACACAATATTAAGCAACAGTGTTTGTCTCTGTGCTCATATAACCCTCAATTCACACAGGCACAAATCGCAACGCAAAGTTTTATCTATCTATGAACAAATGATGTTTATTTTCATGATTCAGATTCAGAAACTTTCTTGCAGAGATAACTAACTAAACTCAGATTGATCTCTGATTTCTTACTCAAACACCACACTTTCAAATGGAGACTCTTGAGGTGAAAATGATACCTAAGGCTTTGCTGCATTACAACAAAATCTGGCGCCTTCTGCTAAAAACTTTACCGGTGACAAGAAGACCATTGATTACTCCTTGTTACTCCAAAGATGTCAGTTTAGGACTATATATTACTTAAGATCCAGTGCAATGAGACAGGGAGACATTGTAAATCATACAAGATTTGGAGATATTTCTCTATCCTAATCAACAGAAGAAAGTGTATTAACTGAGGCTTAACTATTTTGGAACAGGAAGATCAATCACAACCACTGGCTCATTATCTTGCCAAAAAGCGGATGAAACTCTGATGAAAGGCAATGAATCAACTAAGTTATTTTCCCAAGTGGTCTAGCAAAATTTTAAAACTTTAAAACTTCGACTGAACAACATAACAAATCTAATAGAAACCGACGAACACATAACACCAGTCATCCAGCCCGAAATTTCCCAAAACTTCACAATCTGAAAAATGTCAACAAAAAGCAGCAAATTTCAGCTCATCATTTCACAATCAACAAGTGATTTCTCCAAGTTCAAAACTTTATATTCACGAAATTTGAGGACTTTACTGGGTAATAGCCACAGAATCAGGAAGAGCCACATAGACTTTATCCAACAACCTAAGAGATTTCCGCAAAATAAAAAAGTATCATTACCCTTTTTCTCTACTTCTGCTTTCAGTAGCAGACGCACACCCACGAATCCATTTCCCATCAGATCGATTGAGAGAGAGAGAGAGATCAAACGGAAGAACCCATAAGCTAGAGAGCGAACGGGACTCTGAACTTCTGGGACAATAGCGAATGCAGCACGGATACAGAGTGTGAGAGAATCATGATGAAGTGATGTTTTTGAATCACACGGCGAATTCACAAATAAATCAACCGGAAATTTCTCAGGAAACGCAACCACGGCGGATCAGATTCTTCTTATACAAAAGGCTTAATCTACACAAGTATACATTGAAATAAAAAACGGCGACGTATTGGCCATCAGTTCATTTAGCTAGAAAACGGCGGCGTTTTAGACATTAGTTCATTGAGCTACAAAACGACGACACTTTCTACATTTGGGGTTGTTTATTTTCGTCCCACATCGGTAATATAGAAGAATGCTGTGTCGTTTATATAGCGGAGAGATGAAGCTTTAGATCACGACCTTACTTGAACAGGATCTGTTCTATAGGTTCGTACCTCTGTTTCCTTGATTTCTCAAGAGACAGGCCTTTAACCCTGGTTGATGATTCGTGACCGTGCGATCGGAGCGTGATTAATGGCCACGATCATCTTCTGATGATTCCGGTGCTGTAGAGGATCGTTACTCGGCTCGGTTGAATCCAAGTCGGGGTGGTTGCACGGCGGTCTGACAGGTTAATCTTTCTTTTTACTTTTCTCATTGTTTCTTAAATTTTTAACCCCATAGCTTTTTCTGTCGTCATAAAAAGTCCCCTGTTTTCTTCTTCCTCTTCGGGTTGTGTTATTTCAAAAAAATTCGTGGCCTACCCCGAATTTTCAACAATCAGATTGAATAACTCTTATAAACTCCATTCGAAAAGAACAAAATTAAGATGCTTTCATTTCTTCATCGTCTACAATTTTGCTGAAACGGTGAGATTTTTGTTTTCTCTTGAATTTTGAAATTCTGATGGTATTTTTTTTTTTTTTTTTGAGAGATGAGACTATTGATGTGGATATATGCTGAGGTATATGAGACATGCACAGATGTACTTCATGATTTAGGGATGATGTCTCAGAGTTTCGAGTTGTGCTCTGTTTCTGGATACAGAGGTTCTTTGTTAGGCTTTAGTTTGTCTGCAAAGTTCACCTTCAGAGTCCGACCAAGATACTCCTGATAACAAAATCCAATCAGCAATTTCAACAAGAATGTATGATTTTTGTTAAAGCTGCAAACTTTTACTCTCACTTACAAAAGCCAATCAACAATTCAACGAGAAGGTAAGATCAGGAGAGGTTTTGGAGGTGGAAAGTGGAACCTGACGGTGTTTGGTTACATGAGTTGTTGCAGCAATGAAACGGACTTTTCTCTCTGCACAGAGAAAAGTGCAATCACAAACAAAAATCAAATATCCAAGAAGCTCCAAAAGAAAATTCATTTGAGTATTGGGCAGAAACATTGTATACTTTGTAGTAGTAATCGAGTGATTGCATGTCCATCAGAAAGGAAAAACACACATACATTGAGGTAATACGAGAGATCTTACAACTAAACCGAGTTTCATCATTCAACCATGGATAAAAATTTGAAAAGTCGCAATTAAACTAAAACACAGATGACTGTGGTTTTAGTTTCTTAATTCTCTAATCAATTTGGTTCAAGAACTATGTTTTATGCGAGAGAGCAACTCTCTTTTCGTTTTTTAATAAACGGTTTATTAAAAGATTTGAGTGTCATGAAGTTTATTGTGTTTGCCAAGCAAGGAGTTCTCTTATTTGAGAGAAGTGGTAAAAAAATAAAACAATATCAATCAACAGTGTTTGTTTGCGTGATCAGAGAGTGTGATGTGTGAGTCTACTGTTTGCATAAAGTGTTACCAATCATACACAAGACAAGAGCAACGGTGTTTGTCTCTGTGCTCATATAAGCCTCAAATCGCAACGCAAAGTTTTGTCTATCTATGAACAAAAGATGTTTCTTTTCATGATTCAGATTCAGAAACTTTCTTCCAGAGACAACTAACTAAACTCACATTGATCTCTGATTTCTTACTCAAACACCACACTTTCAAATGGAGACTCTGAGGTGAAAATGATACCTAAGGCTTTGCTGCATTTCCACAAAATCTGGCGCCTTCTGCTAAAAGCTTTCCCGGTGACAAGAAGACCATTGCTTACTCCAAAGATGTCAGTTTAGGACTATATATTGCCTAAGATTCAGTGCAATGAGACAGGGGACATTGTAAATCATACAAGATTTGGAGATATTTCTCTATTCCTAATCAACAGAAGAAAGTGTATTAACTGAGGCTTAACTATTTGGAACACAAGATTGGCCTCTGTTTCATTCACGAGAAGGGTTTCTAGATTGTCTTCTCTGGCAGCTAAAGTTCCTAACAAAGATTGTTTCTCTGCAAAGTTTTGCAGGTATATATATTTGCCCATGTTACTGACTTAAGAGAAGGACTAAAATTATCGGTTACAAGATTCACCTCACTAGCTCCAACTCCGTAGTTGAGATAGTCCGCAGAAGAGGACTCTGGCATATGAACGGTGCGAGCTGATAAGTCCACAGATTCAGCATAAGCATGCAGCAGATTTCACAGATGAAGAAGACTAATATATGATGAGAATGATGATCAGGTAATCAAATATGTTATACCTGTTGAATGAGCATGTCCCATGTCACGGTTCGAGCATTCTCCAGAATCTGATTCAATGGTAGGTTTCAACCTCTCTCTCCACCAAGATAACACAGCAAAGCCTAACTGCTTCACAACAGTTCATAACCCTTGCCCCATCTCAAAATGCTTAATTGAAATCTGAAGACATGTAGCAAGTACTGATTGCTTGAGTTGAATTGTAAACCACTAAACACGTGTCTTCGTCTGGCAAGGCAAGTGACGTTTGTGTCTCCACATAGAAGAAGTACTGTGATACTCCTGAGGATTAACAACCAACAAGTCAATAAAAATGACAATCACCAACTCAACGAAAATGTAAGATATTTGCTAAAGATGCAAACTTTAACTCACACTTAGAGAGACAGGGAGTTGAAACATCAATGAGTATTTGGCAGAAACAAAAATCACAAACAAAAATCAGAAATTCAAGAAAATCAATGAGTGTTTGGCAGAAACGTTGTATACTTTGTAGTAATAATCGAGTTAGTGCTCATTCATCAGAAAGGAAAAACACAAATATATTGAGGTAATACGAGAGCTAAACCGAGTTTCATCATTCTACCATGGATTACAAATTTCAAAAATAGCAATTAAACTAAAACAGACAAAAGTTATCAAACTACGAAACTAAACAATTGGAAGCCTACTGGAACCGAAAAACTCCAAATCCAGCCGAGAAGAATCCCAAATACAATCACTGCCGCAACACCCCGACGGATTGTATGCCACCGCCGTTGGCTCCGACGCCTGAAACCCTAATTCCAGCCGAGAAGAATCAGCTTCCCCACCCGAGACCCCAACACCATCCGCACATCCCAAATCGGAAACAAACCCTAATTGGCCGGATCCTCTCTGTTCGGAACTGATCTTCTCCGACATAAGTTCTCGTTTTATCTGTCTGACTCCCGACAACTGCGCATTGATGACCGAGAGGTAATTCCTGAGTTCCTCATGAGATAAACCGTCCAGATTTGGGTAATCATAGACATCGCAAGAGTGTTTCTTCCTCTTCTCATCGCTCTGGTTCTTGAATTTTGAGACTATATCTTGGATCTCTTGCCGATTCTCAGGCCAGACCTGAACTTTATTGTCATCCGGGGTGTAGCAGACGAAGACAACTGAGTTGCCGCAGAGAACAGAAAGTTCAGTGGCTTTCTTCTTGAAATTCGGAAATCTTCTTCTGAAATAATCAAGCCTCGCTTTCTTCAGTTCATCATCGGAGTTTCTTTGTAGAGGAGCCATTGTATTTTTTTTTGTTGCGGCAGAGTAAGAGAGAGTAATGAATTGTTTTGTGATCTTTTCTCGGGCGGCAGAGTAAGAGTAAGAGTAAGAGAGAGCAATGAAATTGTTGAGAAAAGAAAATAGATAGGGTTATGAATTTATGATGCAATGATATTTATAGACGGATAAAAACTTATTTTTAACGGTCAGGTAATTGTGAAACCGCGTTCTTCACGCGTTAAGTTTTGTTCTTTTAATTTTCCCGCCCAAAATCTTACGTTTTGTTTTCTATACTAGTCATAGAAAATCAATACAAATCTACCGTCGGTAAATCGAAAACCCTAATTCTTCTATAATTAGAAGAAAAACTTATCACAGAAAAACTTCCCGTCAGATAAAACTAATTGTAAAAAATAATATTTTTTTAAAAATTAAGCTTTTAAGTTTGGAACCGAAGTTATCATATTCCTACTGGAACAACAAAGAAAAAAATAAGTGATTATTCCATTTTTGCAATATATACAACAACCAGTGTGGTGATCTACTTAAACTCGCACAGCTTGAGGCTCCTCTGCTTCTCCAGCTTTCAAAAAAGCTGAAAATTAAACGCAAACACAAATTATATATTTAGCTCTACAGTCTTTCTCAATGTTCTGCATCTACAGATTTTAGTTTATTTTTACCTCTCTTCTTTATCTTGTTCCTGAAACCCCTTTTCCTGCTGAATGCAGTTTCCTGAAACATTTCATATAAACATAACACAAGAATCAATCAATCACCACAAGCAATATATGCAATTGCTATTGCAAACAGAATGTAGAATTTGAGTTCATGTGAGTTTGATAGAATCTCTATACCACGGGCTGACCAGTCTTGACTGCTTCACGGATCGCTTCCACTAAATCGCTGTTAGCCTCAGTGTATAGACTCGTCACAGTCCCATACAGCCCAGCTCTAGCTGTTCGACCTATCCTGTGAAGAAAATCAACTGCACAGCTAGAAAAATCCGCCTGAATAACGTGTGAGACGTTAGGAACATCAACTCCACGAGCAGCTGCATCAGTACAGACAAAGACACCGCCGTTTTCTCTGAAATCAGCTAATATATTAGCACGTTCCTCAAGGGTATGGTTCTTGTGGTAACGGTAGCACTGGATTGTAGCTTTCTCCAATATATCAGCTACTGCTTCAACCGCCTCAACGGTATTTGCAAACACCATCGTCCTGTCTTCGCTGTTGTTGTTCCTTACAGCCTCTAGAAGTGCATCAACTTGTGTGTCTACTGTGACTTCAACCCATTTCTGCTTTAGTCTAACAACACAGCAAAGACAATAACAACTCTGTCTGAGTGATGCGGAAAATGATGTTACAGTAATACTACTTTAAAGAAGATGAAAGAGAGAAGCTTTCTATCACCTAGGACTGTTTCGGTGAAGGAAGTTTCCGCTAACCCAAACAGCATCTGGAAACATATGTTTCAAGAGTCCTCCTGCAGTCTTCTTCCCGTTAAGTGGAAGTGTAGCTGCGATGAAAATGTACTGCTTGCTACGGCTATAGATCTTTCTCACTCTTCTCCACCCCTTTCTAATCTCTGGACCAGTTTCGTTTTCAATGGAGGGCACTTGTGTGGTATCATCAAGATACTCGAGCTCCTCTTCCTCTTCCTCGGAGATAGACCCGTCTTCGAAATCTGCATCATTCTCATTCTCTGAATCAGATTGAGCTAAAGACTCTGCATCAACCTCTATTGGTTTTCCGAGTTTGGAATTAGCTAAACGAGACGCTTGCTTCTCATCGAAACGCATCATGTTTATCAGACGGATAATCTGATTTTGGAAGCTTCCACACAGAAGCATAGAGCAGTTGAGAAGCCAGAGAGAGGTACCTAAGTCGATAAGAGGATGCTCTGTTTCTGATAGTTTGATCATCGTGAAGTCTACTTTGTTTGCCAAGCAACGAGTTCTCTTATTTGAGCAGCTGAGAGAAGTGGTAAGAAAAAAACAGTATCAATCAACAGTGTTTGTTTGCGTGACCAGAGAGTGCGATGTGTGAGTCTACTGTTTGCATAAAGTACCAATCATACACAAGACAAGAGCAACATTGTTTCTCTCTGTGCTCATATAAGCCTCAATTCACACAGGAACAAATCGCAACGCAAAGTTTTATCTATCTATGAACAAAAGATGTTTCTTTTCATGATTCAGATTTCGAAACTTTCTTCCAGAGATAACTAACTAAACTCACATTGATCTCTGATTGCTTACTCATACACCACAGTTTCAAAATGGAGACTCTTAGGGAAAAATGATACCTAGGCTTTGGGCTCCAAGTGTTGTTGTTAGGCTCTCAAACATCATTTCCTTAGCTGCTGCATTACCGGTGACAAGACCATTGCTTACTCCTTGTTACTCCAAAGATGTCAGTTTAGGACTATATATTTGCTTAAGATTCAGTGCAATGAAACAGGAGACATTGTAAATCATACAAGATTTGGAGATACTTCGCTATTGCTAATTAACAGAAGATTGGGTGAAGAAAGTGTACTACCTGAGGCTTAACTATTTGGAACACAAGATCGGCCTCTGTTTCATTCACGTGAAGGGTTTCTAGATGGTCATGAGAAAAGCCGCTTGTTTCCATGTCTTCTCTGGCAGCTAAAGTTCATTGTGACTCTAACAAAGATTGTTTATCTGCAAAGTTTTCCCCATGTTCCTGACTTAAGAGAAGGACTAAAACAATCGGTTATAAGATTCACCTCACTAGCTCCAACTCCGTAGTTGAGATACTCTGCAGAAGACTATGTTATACCTGTTGAATGAGCATGTCCCATGTCACGGTTCGAGCATTCTCCAGAATCTGATTCAATGGTAGGTTTCAACCTCTCTCTCCACCAAGACAACACAGCAAAGCCTAACTGCTTCACAAAAGTTCTCGGATGTTGTGCTGTGTAACTGCTTTGTGTCATATTGAGCGTGTTGGTCTGAAGAGATCATACCAAGACCAAAAGCAACCATCTGTTGTACCTTTGTCCATAACCCTTGCCCAATCTCAGTACCTGCAACCTCAATTAGAACAGAACCGTCGCACAAAATGTCTACTTTTCCTGGAGTTGACCTATTCATAACTTAATAGACGATCGGTTAAACTCTTTCACCGATTCAGCCCTTCGCTTGAAATCTGAAGATATCTCCAATTTGTCCCATAACAGAGGCAAAGTATATTCATCAGCCTCACCAGCAGCCTCATCCGTATAAAACTTGCGGAGGCTTTCGTAAGTATGAACATTTATCCTTGTCACAACATCCACGTCCATGTTCAGCGAAGATGCTACATTCTCAACAATGGATTCAGCGATATATGGACCTTGTACCTCACCAGGTGCCCTCAAAGAAGTTCTGCTCGGAAGGTTCGTCTTACACACTTTAATGTCAAACGACATTCTGGTGATGACTCGCACCTTATGCTCTGGTGATGCCAAGACATGTAGCAATTACTAATTGTGTCTACTCACCGAGTACGACTCAGTTGCTTGAGTTGAAATGTAAACCACTAAACAGTTGTCTTCGTCTGGCAAGGCAAGCGACGTTTGTGTCTCCATATAGAAGAAGTAGTGTGATCCGAGCCCCAACTGCATAAAACCGAATTCAACAGCACACGAGTGTAGACCAAGATACTACTCCTGAGAAAGAAGAAAAGCCAATCACCAACTCAACGAAAATGCAGTAAAATATTTGCTAAAGATGCAAACTTTAACTCACACTTCGAGTTAAAACATAAGTGCAATCACAAACAAAAATCAAATATTCAAGAAACTTCCAAAGAAAAATCAATGAGTATTTGGCAGAAACGTTGTATACTTTGTAGTTATAATCGAGTTATTGCTCATTCGTCAGAAAGGAAAAACACAAATATATTGAGGTAATACGAGAGCTAAACCGAGTTTCATCATTCTACCATGGATTACAAATTTCAAAAATAGCAATTAAACTAAAACAGACAAAAGTTATCAAACTACGAAACTAAACAATTGGAAGCCTACTGGAACCGAAAAACTCCAAATCCAGCCGAGAAGAATCCCAAATACAATCACTGCCGCAACACCCCGACGGATTGTATGCCACCGCCGTTGGCTCCGACGCCTGAAACCCTAATTCCAGCCGAGAAGAATCAGCTTCCCCACCCGAGACCCCAACACCATCCGCACATCCCAAATCGGAAACAAACCCTAATTGGCCGGATCCTCTCTGTTCGGAACTGATCTTCTCCGACATAAGTTCTCGTTTTATCTGTCTGACTCCCGACAACTGCGCATTGATGACCGAGAGGTAATTCCTGAGTTCCTCATGAGATAAACCGTCCAGATTTGGGTAATCATAGACATCGCGAGAGTGTTTATGATGCAATGATATTTATAGACGGATAAAAATATGTTTTTAACGGTCAGGTAATTGTGAAAACGCGTTCTTTCAATTTTCCCGCCCAAAATCTTACGTTTTCACAGGTCGTTTTTGTCTTACGTTTTGTTTTCTATACTAGTCATAGAAAATCAATACAATTCTACCGTCGGTAGATCTAAAACCCTAGTTCTTCTATAATTAGAAGAAAAACTTATGACAAATACTTCCCGTCAGATAAAACTAATTGTAAAAAATAATATTTTTTAAAAAATAAAGAAGTTTGGAACAAAAGTTATCATATTCATACAGGACCGGCCCATAGACTAAACCACCAAAGCCAAGGATTAGGGCAGTTAAAATCGGGCATCATTTTAAAATATTTTCCTTATTAGGATTAGTTACTTAGAGATATTTTCTTTAAATATTTTCCTTATTTGGATAAGTTCTCTATTAATGTGATAATATATAATTTTAATTTATTTTATAATAGTAATGTTTATAAAGTTTTTGTTAGCAATATTATGATCTTTTTTATTAACAAACATGCTAATTAAGTTTTGTTATTTTTATTAACTAAATTCTGAAAATGGAGAATTGTTATACAAACACCAAGTATCAATATCAGAAAAAAAGTCAGAAGCCTATTGAAGTGCTTGATTTTATGAAAAAAATGGAGGATTGTTATACAAACACCAAAATTGTTTGTTGTATTTTGTTGATTATTTTGGTATCAGTTACTATGACTGAAAGAAGTTTCTTTAAAAATTGAAGAACCTGATTAAAAATTATATGTGGTGTACGATAACATAAAAAAGATTGAATAGGTTGGCTTTGTTATTGATTGAGATACATATGGTTGAAAAACTAGATTATTTGAGTTTAATGAATGATTTCGTAAGCAAAATGCAAAGTGTAAGTAATGTTTTAAAAATAATTATTTTTTACTATTTTATTTTATTTTTTTGTAAATTATTTATGAACTGAGATCGTTAGTTTGGAATTAATTTTTTTTATAAATTTTTAACTATAGTTTATTTTTTAGTTTTTATGATATCAAATATAATATATAAAAAGGTATATTTTTAAAATTCAAATAGGGCATCCAAAACTATCGAACCGGCACTGTATTCATACATACTAGAACAACAAAGATGATATACGTGATTATTCCATTTACAACTACCAGTGTGATGATCTACTGAAACTCGCAAAGCTTGAGGCTCCTGCTTTCTCCAGCTTTCAAAAAAGTTGAAAATTAATGTTTTTAAGTCAAAATCACAAACTGGCATAATACGGCACAATAACATTTACTGGTAAACTGTAAAATTATATTTTTCATCAAAACTATAAAATTATGTTGTTTCATCAAAATCCTAAAATTCTATTTTTTCCATCAAAATCATAAAAATCTATTTCTCACCAAAAATGCAAAATTTTATTTTCCCGCCAAAACTGCAAACTTTCATTTTTCCATCAAATTGTAAAATCACATTTTTGAAAAAATTGTAAAAAAATCCATTTTTTCAAAATCATTATTTTTGATCGAAATTAAATTTTTTCGTCAAAACTAGAAAATTACATTATTTTAAACAAAACATGATTTTGACGGGAAAACACAATTTTGGTGGTAAAAACACAATTTTGACAAGAGAACTCAATTTTTGCAGTTTTAGCGAGAAAACACAATTTTGCGGTTTGGGCTAAAAAATTCGGTTTAACAGTTTTTTTGGCGGGAAAATTTGATAATGCGGTTTTGGTAGGAAAACTTGATTTTGGCAGGAAATGAGGTTTGTGGTTTTGGCGAAAAAATTTAGTTTTACGGTTTTTGCAAGAAAACTCGGTTTTGGCAAGAAAATTTGATTTTATGGTTTTGGTGGGAAACTCGATTTTGCTGTTTTGCCGGGAAAACTTAACTTTTGCGGGTTTTGATGGGAAAACTCAGTTTTATGGATTTAGCAGAAAACACAATTTTATGGTTTTGATGGAAAAACTTGATTTTATGGTTATAGTGGGAAAATCCTGGTTACGATTTTGACGTGAAAACTCGATTTTACGATTTTAGCAGGAAAACTCGATTTTGCAGTTTTGCAGAAAAAACTTAATTTTGCAGTTTAGGCAGGATACTACGAATTTTACGATTTTCATGGAAAAACTCGTTCGCGGGAAAATCCGGATTAACAGTTTTGCGAGAAAAACTCGATTTTATGATTTTGGCGGGAAAGATCTATTTTCTGGTTTTGAAGAGAGATTTTGGTTTAACAGTTTTGGCAAAAAAACTCAGTTTTACAGTTTTGGTAGAAAAATCCAGTTTTGTAGTTTTTACAGAAAAATTTAATTTTACAGGGAATACTCGATTTTACAATTTTGGCAAGAAAACTAGATTTTAGTATTTTGGCAGAAAAACTAGAATTTACTACTTTTAAACAAGTGAAGAAGTGAAACGAGTCCTATATACACTCAAGTGAAATGTTTCATTGACTGAGTTTGATGAAAGTAAAGAATCAGCTAACTGTTATATTTACCAATGTTTACAATGGTGTCTCTGGCCGGAGAGATTCAGAGAGACGAAGTGGAAAGATCCTTCTGAAAGCATCTCTAACGACAAGCCTTGCTTTGCCTCAATTCAAAACTCCCACTGAGTAAGATAAAAATCAAACCAGTCATCGAGCCAGAAATCTTCCAAAACTTCACAATCTGATAATGTTAACAAATGCATGCAAATTTAGCTCATCATTTAACAATCAACAAAGAGCTTCTCCGAGTTCAATTTCAAATTCAAAAAAATTAAACCCAGAATCTCGAAGAGCACCAAAGATTTTATCCAACAACCTAAGAGATTTTCAGGAATCAGCATGGTCCACAAAAAAAAAACGTACCATTACCCTTTTTGAACTTATGGGAGAATAGCTTCGGCGCAGAGATGAATCATGGATATAGAGCGTGAGAGAATCATCATGAAG